TCTCCAGTTTCTCTCTAACACTGCAACTTACCTTTCGTTGGAGGACGTTAATCTTTCGATCTTTAATGTCAATGTGATCGCGCAGCTCCTGCATTTCCAGGTTCAGTTTGTTCTTGTCCTGTGAGCTCATCATTGACTGGTGAGTGCGTTTTTCAATTAGCTTGTTTTTCTCCTCCAGTCTAGAGCGTAGCTCTTCAATCTGTGATGTCAACAGTAAACAAGTGGTACAGTTTAGTGTGAAAAGTTTAATCCAAAGTTTAAAGTGCAAGCAATTAAAGTTTTTTAAAGACAGAAAGAAAGAGTGTGTCACTTACGTCTGCCTGGAGCATGTTGTAGTGCTCTTCCTTGGCCACTAGAGACTCCTTCAGAACGGAAATGTGTCGCTGGTAGTCCTGGTGCTGCTCCTCAAGAGTCTTCATCTTGGCGCCCACTGCCAGCAGTTCCTGGTCCCGTTTGTTCAACTCCATCTTCAGCTCTTCCATCTGCAAGCAGACACACAGGATAGTAATGAGTGCCATTGTGCAATCAGGTGCTACTTAAAACACTGGTATTCTAAAGGACAGGTGCACTTACCTTCAACAGCTCCTTCTCCTTAATCTCGAGAATGCTGTCGATGTGTCGCTGGCGTGTCTCTAGTTCGATGTTTCGAGTGCGCATACGTTCGTACTCGATGCGTTCCTCTTCCATCATCTTACTGCCGATGCCCTTGTTCTGCAGCATCTCCATCAGCTTCTTGATGCTGTCATCGCGAGCTGCCAGCGTCTGCTTTTGCGTCTCAATGCGCAACTCTAGTTCCTGTTTTTTGTGTGTGGTAAAAAAGTAAGTTTCTAGCAAACTACTTAAAAAATTTGGCAAGCACAACAGTTTACCTTGTTAGTTTCACGCAGTAGGTAAATCTCCTTGGACATGTGCTCCTTTTCGGAGTACAGTGAATCAAGGTGCTGCTGCACGTCCTGGTCAGGGTTGCGCATGTTAGTGATGCGCAGCTCCTCCTCTAGCTGCCGAATTAGGGCTGATTGTTTCTATTGAAAATGGGGTAATTGGAATAACAATCAGTTCAAGTAGGGTAAAAAGAACAAAGTTAGACTGTACCTGATTCTCCGAGCGGAGTATCTTTAGCTGGTCATTGATGAGCGCATACTTGGCCGCCTCCTCTTTGCGCAGCGCCCGCTCCTTCTTCAGCTCCGGACTCCAGAAGGTCTTGATGCTGTGCATGCTGGAGCCCAGCTTCTGCGTGGTGGCGTCCAGCTCCCGCTTGACGCTGCTGAACTGATTCTGCAGGTCGTTCAGGCGCGCCTGCAGCTCCATGACAAAGTTGTCATTGACGGCGCCCATGCGACCGCCCATGCCGCCGCCGCCGATGCCGCCAGAGCCGCCGTAGGGCCCGCCACGAGGGTCCCCCACCAGGCCGCCGCCGCCGGGACCGAGGCCCGGACCGGGGCCCATGTGCCGACCGACATGGCCGCCCACCAGCGGGTCACCACGACCGCCGTACGGGCCACCGACGCCCAGCGCCGGGTCGTCGAGGAGGGCGCCATCGCGGTCGCGCAGTGGTCCACCATAACTGCCTTGCATTGGGTCGTCGCGGCTGGCGTAGAGGGCGCGGTCCAAGGAGCGATCTCGCGCCCGGCTCAGGTGGCCGCCGGCAGCGGCGCGCGCATTGAGCGAGTCCATCCGGTCAAAGGAGCGATCTCGGTAGCCGGGCTCCCGCTCGATGGAGTGGTAGCTGCGCAACGGCGGCCGTCGTCCCATGCGGTGCATCGGTCCCCGTCCTCCGCCGCCCGGTCCCAGGCCGCCGTCCATGGCCGCCATCCCCGGACTGCCCAGGTCGTCGTAGTAGGCGGAGGCGCCGGTGCCGCCGCCTGGGAAGCCGCCGCCGTGTCCGTAGGCGGAGCTGGTGCTGAGCGACGTCGGCAGGTGCTCCATGGGCAGCGTCAGTGGTGAGTTGTTGCTGGAGCGACTGACGCCATAGGCCGTGCCCACGTGCCCACGACCCCCGGGACCGCCCACTCGGTGGGACAGGTGGTGCGGGTGGTGTTGCTGCTGCAGTGGCCGTCCGCTGGTGGGCGAGAGGAGGGGGCCGCCAATGCCTCCGCCGCCTGCTCTCCCAAGTCCAAGTGGGCTGCCACGCGCCGAGGCTGGCTGCGAGAGTGAGTTCAGGTAAGAAGAGGAAGTGGCTGCCTTTGAGGCGGGAGAGCCCCCCGGCCCGTAGGGGCCTGGGGCCATCATCTGCTCGCTACCCATCTGCCGACGCAGTGACCGTGACCGACCGCTACTGCCCACGCCTCCTCCTCCTCCTCCTCCTCCGCCGCCGCTGCTCACTCCGAAGCCCATGCCCGGCTGCTGGTGGAGGGGGTGGTGGTGCCCTCCGACTCCGCCCATCATCGGGTCACCCATTCCTCCTCCTCCTCCTGCCCCACCACCGATCATGCCGGACATGCTGCCCCCACTGCCCATACCACTACC